TCTGTGGAGTCCTTGGGGTTCTCTGAGCTTGCTAGCGCTGAAGATGTTACCTAGCCAGGTAACAAAATATTTGTAAGAAAACAACCAAGCTCAGAGAACCCCAAGGACTCCACAGTTCAACCCTGAGCTACACATATTCTCTTCTATAAGTGGAAGGTTTTGCTAGAATAGCACCATAAGATTATATTTTGCTTTGATTCAATTTGCTTTTTAATGTAATGCAGATTTATAAAAAAAACAAATTTGCAAACTTTGGCAGAAATAGGACAAACTTAAGGCTAGGAAAATGAGCTTGTATGTGGAAATTTGAAGATACTGTAAGTATCATTATTCTTTCATGTTTATTAATTAAAATAACAGTTTATGTAGTCAAACAGAGCCCTCTGTTGGTCAAAATGATTAATTAATTTAACCTACCCAAGGGATAAAAGTGAAGCAGTTTTACCCATTGAGTAGGATTTACTAACTGAATAAAGAATGGTGTATTAGATTATTTAAGATATTCTTTATAAAATAAAAAGCGTATAAAGTATTTCTAAATATTAATAATATACTAATTAGAAATCCAAGTGTATAGAGAGGCAATGAATACAGAATTGGAGTACTTGCAAGTCAATAAAAGGCCATTTTAGCAACTGTATGCCATATTTCTGAAGATTTGAAATTATTAACAGTACAATGATAAATATTACTTAGTGTCTACTGGCTAACCTTACATGACTTTTCAACAAGATGTTGATGGATTTAGCAAATTGTTGATGATGTGGCAATCAAAATGCAACTTTATGCCATATCATGTAATTGAGTGCTCTAGAGGCTCCCAAATAAATATCTCATATTTTTCAAAGATTACTGGATTTTGTAGATGGTCATATTTTTATTATATACAATTCAAATTTAAAGCAGGACAACAGAAACAAATATCACATTCTTCTATACTCATTCTACTACAATGCTAGATGGATATTTAGTCTCCATTAGTTTATAGAGGGCTCCAAAGAACTTACCTTCCTTTCAATATTTGAAAAGCATTTTATTGCTTAGAAGACTGCATATACTAATTCATATGTTTCAGTTCCTAATTCTTTCTATTATTAAGTAAACTGACTTCAGCGGTTTTAATTTGATTGTGTAATATGACATGAATATATATTTGATTTGTATAAGAGAAATTTATCCTTTCCCCTCTCCTTCCTTTTCCCCTCCTTTTTTCTTCTTTTTGCATATATTAAGGAATAAAAAAAAGGAATACATGTATATGGAATTTTGGTTCACTTTATTTTATTTAATATTAAATTAAATAAAGTTTAGAAGTGTGTGAATTTGATTGAATTGTGTCCTGTGCCCTGGGAAACCCCAGTTTTGAAGGACAGCATTTTAAAAATATATAAATATATAAAATAAATGAAACTGTGTGCGTGTAAAAGGCCTAAGAATGACACAGATATAACTAGTCACAAACAATACATGAACTTTATAAATTGTAAAGCATTTGAAAGAAATAATTTCCAAATGACACATACCAAACTTGGTTTCTTTCTATGGGTTGTTCTAAGAAAAACAAGCCAGAATCTTTGGTTTATATAATGTGGTAGACAAAATACAGTTGGAGCTGCCCATAATCTGGTAATTTATAGGAAGATCCAGGGGACAACTGCACTTGCTCAAAGTTAAACAACTTTTTTTTTATTTTTAATTTCTTTCAATGTACAAAACAAAAAGAAAAAAAGACATTACAACATAATAGAAACAAAATAACAAAGCAAAAAATAAGAATAAAAAATATTTTTTTTGCGCTCATGAACTAAAAAGCAAAGTTATCTGTAGTTCTCAAACGGGGATTACGCAGAGTATAATTTCTCATCAGAATAAGGAACAAACTTGAGTTTCCTGACCAATATTATCCCAATATATCCTGCAGCCTTAAATGCAAGAAAAACAACTGATTTTTCCAGTAAAATTGGAGCCAAGCCCCTACCATGATATTCAGGAGAACAAATAATAACTAATGAGTTGTGCCTACAAAAACTTTTGAAACAATTACTAAAATTCTAGAAAGACATAGATATCAAAATGTAAGCCCATTGATAAAGCTTAAAATATGGAAAAATTAAACCCCCTTCTTCATGAGTGCACGGTTGGGAGACATGAAAGAACAGGTTAGTGATAGATTGGAGCATAGGCAGGTAAAAAAGCGGCGGGAGCAACATGTGACTTCTACCGGCTTCCCCATTGACTTTGCTTGTGGAAAGCAGGCAGGGAAGGTCACAAATGGCAATCACGTGACCATAGGACACTGCAACCATCATAATTATGAGCCGGTTGCCAAGTGCCCAGATCTCAATCATGTGACCACAGGGATGCTGCAATGGTTGAAACTTCAAGGACCAGCCGTAAATCCCACTCATTCAGCGCCATTGTAACTTTGAATAGTCACTGGATGAGTGGTCAGTGGTCGTACCCCGAGGATTACCTGTACTATGCCTTGAAATAATGCAGTTGCTATCTTGGCATAAGCTTTCAGAGCCAAATTTTTCTTAGCACACAGTTTTAATCCTATTAATGGTGTATGCGCTTGTGTAAACAACATCTGTAAAAAGGGTAAATTGTCTTCTGTGTCTGATTTTGCCAACAGGTTTGCCAGTTTTCTGGGTCATACAACATGTTGAACCATGTTGTATGACCCAGGGTTACATTTTTATAACATGCTAGGCTAAATTGATGCTTGGGTTTGTCATTCAGTATTTAATTAATTACTGCAATTAATTTATTTTCCTTCTCAAACTATAATTATTTATTCAATTATCAGGATAACTGTACATGCAGCTGTTGAAATGGAGTGTAGAATACAAAGTTATTATAAATATGTTAGGTTTTAATGGGCCTCTAAACTGCTTTAATTTTGTAGTTAAAAACATAGATTATATTAGATTATTCTTTATTTTCAAAGATCAAAATGCATACACCAACACAAAATCTGAATAACAAAGTAATACAGGTTGTATACTAAGCAATAAAAGTTACAGTTTTAGACCACAGGTGGTGATGGCGATTCAACAAAATTTCATGACCCTTCTGGTAATTGGCACTGACCTATCAGCTAAGAGGAAGAAAACATTTTCCTTTTCTGAACTTCCATGAAGTTTGAATAATGAAGATATTATTAGATTCTTGTACCAGATTGTATAAAGGGATTGTGAATAAGTATATGTACACGCATCGGGGAGTAGCAACGGCACTCTGACAAAGGAATACTATTAAATATCCTTTCCAGCAGTGATGTTGGGGAAACATCAAATCTAGATAGTGTACAGGCTGTTCTGTAAGCCAGGCATAAAATATTATCAAGGTAAATAGAACTTGAAAAGGATCTTCCGAACAAACTTGATCTAAAACATTAATTAATTTGATTAAGCCTTCCATTTGCCACCACTCCTGGAAAACCTAACAGCCACTTTTTAGATTAGTCCAAGATACTCAAATATCTGAGTATCTTTTTCAAACTTGACTGTTTGGAACAATTAAGGGCCATCTCCACTCAAGTGCACAGCATCACCAATATTATACATCATTTTACAAAAACAATGGTAATAATCACATTCTGAATTTATTAAAAATTATAGAGCAATATTCATGAACCTTAAAGCCTAAGGCACCCAGGTGTATAATGACCATAGATTGGATGTTCCTGAAGCTGTCTAATAGATATGTATTTTAAGGGCCTTGTGCTATAAGTCTCTTGTGTTTTCCTAACTCCTTGCTAAGGTTGAAATCCAGTTTAATTTTGGTTGAGGGTCATATTTGGCTTCCCTGCATGGTTTAATTTGTTTGAGAGCTCCCGGATTCCTTGACCTCAAAGTCCATTTCACCAATTTAATGAATGACAGATATTATTGCAATTGATCTGCCTGATATCTGACTTTAATTGGCTTTCAGAGAGCCTTGTCTAAGCTGAAACAGCAAGATAAAAGCAAATGATTGAGCAGATGACCATTTGTTAAGAACTGTGATGGGCACACAGCTTCATGGGAAGGAATTCGATCACATATTCAGAATCCGTCACTTCCATTTCCTTGGATTGGGCATGATGTATAAATGCGTGGCACCACATGAGTCTTAATCTCACATCAAACAATTCTATGGTTCTGATGCTATGAAATACAGTATTTTCTTATTAACACAGCTTTCCCCAACCTGATCCTTTCCAGATATGTTGGATTATTATCCCCAGCCAACATGGGAAATAAATCTGAAATGGAGCAATTCTGGGGGGAGCTGGTAGTGCAGAGGTAACTGTCAACCACTGAATCATGCAAGCCATGGTATTCCCTGTGACACTCTATGGAAGCAAAAGTTGGACTTTGAAGAAGCAGGATAGAAAGAGTATTGATGCTTTTGAACTTTGGTGTTGAAGAAGACTCCTGAGAATACTGTGGACAGCCAAGAAAGCAAACCAATGGGTCATTGAACAAGTAAATCCAGAGTTATCACTTGAGGCACAAATGATCATGTACAAATTATCCTACTTCAGACGCATTATGTGAAGACGTAGCTCTCTGGAAAAGGCTCTAATGCTGGGAAAGGTGGGATGAAAGAGAAGAAGAGGATGACCAGTGGATGGACTCAGGTGCAGTGGCAATGGGTGCACCACTGGATGACTTGAAACATCAGATTAGGGAGAGATTGTCATGAAGAAAATCTATGAGGTCACTAAGAGTTAAAAACAACTTGATGGCACATAAATCAATTTGGTGGGGCGAAAAGCATGAGGCAGCAAAAATAAGTGGACAGAATAGATTGGTGCACAAAACCCACTGGCGGGCAAAAAAGTTTTGCCAGGCCAAAAAGGAACAAGGGCCCCAACTGTTCCTAATGAAGCTATTAGGCTGTCCTCCAGGTTGGAATTTCCCAGCCTCCCACCCATCTTCCGTCGACGTGGAAGGCTGCCTCGAAGCACGCCAAGACGCCCGAAGAAGCGGCGGCGCTAGGGCCTGCTGCAGGGAGCTGCGGGTTCGCTTTGCGCATGCGCATGCTCCTCCGGCTAGGGCAGCTCCGCTGATAACTGTTCTCCAGAAATGGGGAAAAGAAGCGGTTTTAGAACTCGGATTCGGCGAAGCTGACAAGAAAGCGGGTTGGGCAATGACGGGTTCGCTTGGTTCCGGCATGAGGTTCCTCGACTGCCTAGCGCGCTATGAGCGGAGGTGAGGGCAGAGCCGCTCAACGCTTTCTGCGACCCCTGCGCGGGAGCTGGGCATCCCGGTCGGCGACGGGGCTGTCGGATTCCCCGCCGCTCAAGAGATGGGAAACGGGGGCAGGGACGGGGCCCGGTTGCGGCGCTTCCAGGCCGCGCGTTACTGACGGGAAGGGGAAGCCCGCGCTGAGCCGGAGTGTGCTTGGGCTGGCTTTGGCTAACCGCGTCTGTGAATGCAGCCTGCGGGGTTCGTAAGCCCGGCTTTCAGGCTCAGCGTTTCTGTAAGCACGTCGGTAAGCGGTCCAGTAAACCGCGGCTGGGCAAACCAAGGCCGAGTGAGACGTGGGATTCCGCGCATGCTTCCGGGTTGTGGTCTTGCTTCCTCTCGAGGAATTTAGCGAGGCTTTTTGAGGGTAAACCTGCCTAGAAGACCAGGTGTTATTTATGAGAGATGATAAGATGGCGAGGTCCTCTTAAAATGGATAATTTCCAGGGGGTTGGAGAAATTATCCTTTGGTCCTTTTAACACCACTGCAGAGGCTGAAGTGGTACTTCAGCAAGTCTGGCTTGTTCCGGAATCCGTGGCCGTGGATGAAGAAGGCTTTTCCACGAGGAACTTGTAGTAACCACCAGTAACTAAGATGACTTTAACGGATGTTTGACAGCCTTAACCTTATTGAATCTGTCCATGTCTGTATGTACCCTCTGGGATTAGATTGATCATAAATAGCAGCAGAAGAGGGTTATTGCTTCCTATTATTTTAAAGTATGAACCCCATATTCCACTACATAATGCTTAAAGCAGCTTAAAGAGATTACACAACAGGCTAAAACAATCCCATAAGACCATAAGCAAATGTAAAAAGTATTGTTCCTGTCCTCTGAAATGATGTATGACCAGTGTAAATATGTTTCCAAGAGGAGTGGTTATGAACTTCTGTTTAAGACTCTAATCCTGTTACGTAGCAGTTTCAGAATCAGGCGTACACTTGCTAAAAAAGAAAAAGAAAAAAGGACATACTGTACTACTGTTTTACTGTCCATTATTTGTTCTATATTTTAACCAGAATTTGACACTTAGGACATTTAGATATTGCCAGTGCTTCCACTCTTGGAAATGATGTGAAGCTGACATTTTCTTCACTGCCACTGATTTTGAAATTCTGAGAATGAGCTTGCCTGTCCAGCTGTCCTAATAGGAGAGCACAGAGAGCAACACAGTACTTCAGTTACCCCACCACATTTATTTATATTTCTTAATATATAAAGGTAACAGATATCCTTTAGTTTAGAAACTCTGTTAAAGCTGGAGGGAATGGGGGAAACTGAAGAAGTCTGCATAGTACATTCAGCCACTTCTAGTGTCAGTCACAGGGAATTTTGAACCGCCCAGAGTCACCCATAGGGGGAAATGGGTGGCATACAACTTTAATAATAAAAATAAATAAATACATTTAGTTATCCAGTGTTCTGGTACAGAAGATTTGCACACCAAGGGAAATTGTCTTGATCAGTATCAGACCCATCTTTGCAGTGGCTGCCATTTTCTGCTTTTTTAAACTGACAAGACTTGACAGATACCAGAGCACCATAATAATGTAAAAGAAGGTTTTTCTTTCTCCCTACCCACTTTTGTCTACCTATTTTATCATTCATCATGCATGACCATGGGAAAGGATTAAAAAAGACAGTCAGCTGGAGAAGACCCGGTTTCCTGTATCTCTACCTGGAGGAAAAAAGGGAGCATTAAACTTAAAGTGCATTTGTTCTAGGTCCAGACAATAGAGGAGCTCCAAGTTAAAATTAGTAATAATCCTTGCTTAACTACAATTTTACCCATGGTTCAGCTTTTATATCATTAAGTCTATAAAAATAATTTATGATGACTGGCTTCAGTAATCTAAACTGTAGTTTAACCATGGTTAAAGGATTAAGATGTCATTAGCTTTACATATCACTATATGATAACCTGATTTATACATTGTGGGTGGAATATCACACTCTAAGCCAAAGCCAGACAAAACCATGTTGTTTCCCCAAATCAGCCTTTCTTAATTGGCACCAAGCTAATTGGGAGTTCTAGGAATAATAGTCCAACAAATCTGGAAGTCACTAGATTTGGGGAAGACTGTCCCAAATAATCAGAAGTAGTCTGTTTGATGTTAAAATGAAGGAGTTGCAGATAGCTTTCTTTTCTCTACTCATTTTGCCCCCATCCTGCCTCAGAAGTTGGTTCATTATGTGCAGTGTAACAAAAGATAAGTCTCAGTTATGCAAGTTCATATTATTACATATTTCCAGAAACAGAGTCCTAACTGCTGTTTTCACAATTGGCTAGAAGGGCAATAAAAACTTAAAGCTGTACTCGAAATGATTAGCTTGAAATGAAATGAAATGATTTGCACTGGTCCCCTTTACATTAAAATTCTTTTAAAAGCTAAACAATAAAAGAAAATGGTTGAAGTGCTCCTGTCTAAAGTCATGGTCTGAATCATCTCTGGGTCTCATTTCTTCTCTCTTCCTTCCAAACCTAGTGTAGTGCATAGTGTAGTATCTAGCTGGGTCCTCACATGTGCTTTATTTGATTTTCACTTAATGCATTGGGTAAATCAAACCATAATTCATGTCATATGGCTTAGGCTTAATTATGAACTCAGCCATTGTGATTTATTCATTCATTTATGCATTATATGAACTAAGGTATTTTTTATTCCTTCTAGGTGGCCAGATGCAAAAGGCTACAGCTGTGAAGAACATTTGCAAAGTGCAGTTTATTTTGTGTGGGTAGGAAAAGGAAGCAGAAATATTGCTGTATTTGCTGAAATGTTCTTACATAATATGAAAATTGCAGAGTCTCTGTGTTCCTGTATATTTCATCTCATTACCCTTATCTTTTAACATTTAAAGCTATAATTCAGCAATGTCTACTTTGTTCTTCATAATTCTAATTGTAAAACACTGTCTTGTCTGTATGCTTAAGGGGGGATACCTTGAAAAGTAGCACGTTCTTATACAACCCTCCCTCAGATCTATAACCATATATTTGTTGCATATTTTAGTGGGTAATACATTCTCTAAAAACTAGTATAAAGTATAAAGCTTGGATGTGAGACTCTTATTTCTTTCTCCTCTTATATGGGAAATTAGCCATCTGGGATTGTGGAAGGCATTTTAGTGATTAACAAATGGGGTACTCCTATTTGAAAGCTGAAATATAGCTGCCATATTTTGACATCTAATGAAAGACAGAAACAATCCTGTACCATTGTGTCTATGAATGCATACATTTTACATGCATAGATTACGTATTATGTGGGTATTAGAGAGAGGAAGAATATTAAATAGGCTGATTTTATGCAGACTTCCAATTAGTACTTCACATATTAGAGAATCCTTATTGACCACTAAAAGGTTCTAATATATAATTAGAAGCATTTTTATAACCTCCTTTCAATATTGTTACTTCACTTTTTTTCTGCTTCTATACTGAATAACCATGAGAATCTCACTTCTTTTGTAAGCCTAAACTTTTTGTAATCCTAAACTTTTGCTCTTTGCTGTCTTACTTATTTAGATACCCCTAGGCCCACAGTGTCTCTGGAGCAAGCAAGGACTGGTCATTAGTTACTGGATTATTTATTTTCACAATACAAAGATTCTTGTTTCCTTAGAATGTAAATATTAATTAATGAGTTGAGCAAATAACGAATAATGATAATTAAGGCAGTGACTCTTAAACTTTATGGTACCATGACTCTGAATTTATAAATGAATTTGAATTATCTCCCCATAAATAAAACTCATGTTCCAACCCATAGTTTAAGAACCCTTATGTTAAGCCGTAATGGGAGTATCACCCATCACCCAGCTAATTACTAAGCAGTATATTACTTTAGGAAAAAAGGACACTTGAATGACATTTTACAGAAATAAGAAAAACAAACAGATTTAGTGGAAACTTGTGTGAAGGATTAAGGAGTCTGGTTGTGTTTGCATGGTGATTTCTTTATAAGGAATCTTAATTCCTTTACAAGACAAAAGTGCAGATTCTTTCTAAGGGATAGGGAGTGGAAGGCAGAAAGTTGGTTAAGAGGTTTCAATACATTTCTAGGTGGTCTACAGTAGATCTGAAAGTATTTTTCGTCCAAAATATCAATATCTATCGGCAACATCAACAATATTTTTCCTCTCTCTTTCTGAACTAGGCTGCTAAAGCTGAAGTACTCTTGGGAGAAAAACTAGCACTGCAAGTTAAGTTAGGAAGAATAATTCTGGGTTGTCCGTGTGCTGGGAGGCATACTTGTTTGTTTGTTTTTTAATTTTATGAGCATGCTCCTTTTCTCTTGACTTACTTATTCCTTAGCGGGCTCTGGTGCTGAACCTCAGGATTCAAAACAAATAAATTTTGTTTTAATAGTATTTTATTGAAATTTTAAGATTACAAAGTTAAAAGTTAGAAAT